GTTGGGAAAGTGTCCTAATCTCGGTTCCAATGGCAATACCAACTGATAGAGTAAAACGAAGGGAAACAGCTCTAGGAGATTAGAATTCTGTGGCCTCCCTCAATGTTTGTAACTCTGATGCGCATGTCCTTGTGGACAATATAGGTAACGTATATGACAGTCGTCACACACGAGATCTGACGATATGCTATTTATATTTCGGAATACCTCTAATCGTGAGGAAATATCACGCTGGCGATTTTTAGTCTGTTTAACACCCCCAATTAAGTACTCTGACACAGAGAGACCGATAACCCGACTATCAGCCAAAGACAAAGCTTGGCGATTTAAATTTCCAACTTCTTATTCACTGAACCAATGTTCTAATTTTTTTACTGTTTGATAATTCAAAACCACTGATTTGATCTAAGCTCCCCTTGTATCTATTTTTACTCTAAATAGACGGATTTCGGCTATCTTTTACGACATTTTTTCGCGTAAATTATTGATATGATAATGGGAAAAAATAAATTAAAAAAAAGAATAAGAATTCGTTTTGTTTATTGTGTTACCTGTAGATGTTGTTATATACAATTTCGTAGTTTTGCGGCGAAACAACAATAGATACAGCCCTTCTGTCCCTTTAGACATCGTCCTGTCGGAGCGACGGAACGAATTAACGAGACATGTTGCGCAAATAAACAAAAAAACATGAAGGAAGGAAGAACGAAAATTATTGTCTTTTCGCCCATGGGCCCCCAAAACGTCTTCTGCAGCACCTCGGTTCGGAACCATTAAAGAAGAGTTTCGTTCTATCGCGCGCAATTCGAAACAGCGGTGGAACATGTCTACCTCCAGGATTTTCACTTTTAAATTATGCTAGATTCTTTACTTACTTATGAAATGAAAAGTCATTTCCGATTCGGATATGGAATTTGAATTGGTGATATTTTCCCATCAGAGCTTCGCCAAATGTAATTACACGTATGGTTAAAACACTATCCATATATTCGGTATGATAACACTGAACACAGGGTAATTATGTAGTAAATAAGTGTAGCTATTGATACACTTACAGAGAATTAAAACACGGGGACCAGAATCATCACATTTCCGAGGATGTACGTTAACCTGAGTAAGTCATTGAATAGAAAACTCAATATCATCTCCAGTCTACTCTATAAATATGCCGCTTATTTGTCAAATTATGCTCGTATCTAGGCGGTGCCTATGTTAAAAGATAAAATTTTGATCAAAACAAATGAGGATTCATTTAGCTTTTTGAATTTTTGAAGCTATATTTGTCAAAAAATATCCTAAAACGTTTTATTTCAAATGAAAATTTATGAAACTCGTTTCGAAATTTTTAATCTTTGCTCGCCAAGACTCGAAGCAAGTTTCATAAAATCTCATATGAACTGAAAACTCATTCTAGATAATATATTTATATAACCAAATTGTGGTCTCACAATCTGTTTTTATTCTCTGTATATTAACACGGGAGACTGTCGAGTGAATATTGCATGACACGACTTTGATGATCCAATGCATTAAGCGACAAAACCTTACTCAGGGTACACGTAGCCCTTATCTACTGTCTTTGTGATCTGTCCGATTGTCTTGATTAAGACAAATACAGCGATATCCAGTGCTATCAAAACGGTCACGTTTCGACCCATTTGTATGGTCACATTATATAAATTCAATTATCAGGGCAAACGAGTACTAGATTACAAATGGACGATGATCACACGTCCTTGCAATACTGGTGTTTTAAGTCCGAGATCGATAACTGGTAGGGTCAGATCGATCACCCGAAATCATGTCTGATCGATGTAAGATTTAAGTACAGTAATATAATATTTTATATCGTAAAACTGTACTAGTGGCGAAGTCTTTCTGACTGGTTTTGGAATTCCTAAGTCAAGGTTGAAATTCACGCCTTAAAGCTTACAAAAATGTTATATCAAACCGCGTCGTCAACAAATATTAAAGAAATTAAAGGCTGGACAGAAAAGAAAGGAATACATCACGTGATCCTAATCACTAATAGGGACAGCCACAGGATTATAATGCTGGACTGGGTTTCGGGGCCAGGGTCCAGACCGTGTATGGCGTACACTTAACATTGGTGGCAATTGAGAAATAACTTTCCGTTTTAGTTATTTACTTGTGGTTTTTTTATTGTTGGTTTCGGTTTTTACAGACATTTTAAATGACGCGCGTTACACGTTATGTTGAACTATCCGCGTAAAACAAATGCAGTTTACACACCAGTTAACAACAATCTAGAAGAAAAAAGACTTAAGATTTTTAAAGTCACAAATATATATATCAACGCTACGAGAAATGAATAAATGTCATTCATGGTTTAACAACTGAACTATCATGGCCCTGGGTAATAATTATAAGCTTTATTTATTTTACAACAATTGCGAAACAAATTTTTCCAACTTATATTAATCATTCTTGTTGGCCTGGATGGAAGCGTGCGAGGGGTCTTACTGTGGGAGGAAATCGGAGTACCCGGGGAAAACCCACGTGGTCGGGCAGGTGACCCCATACCTTTTCACATCCATTCCGGGAATCGAACCCTGGGCAGTTAGGTGAATGTGAAGGCGAGTGCGTTACCACTGCGCCGCCCGACCACCCATAGGTACTATATACCCCCGCAAGCATAGATTTTGCGATTTCGGAATATATATCGAGGGACCCATTAGAGACGAGAGGACGTTAAATCCGGACAGGGATTGTCTACCTTTGAAGATTACAAAGGAGCGACACCTAAATTCAAAGCCAGTGAAATACACCGTTATACGACATCGAGAATGGTTTGATGTATATCGTCTTATCCACAAGGTGTCGCACATATTCCGACATCCCCGATATTCCCGGGGTTACGACCACTTTCGCTCTCTGCACCTCTGGAACATGTCAAGGCAAACTTCAAGGCACAAACAATTTTGATTTGTCAAGAGTGGGTTGCTGGAGAAAAAAAGCTGACCAATCACAGACTGATACGCTCCTTACCCGTATTCCGTTTGCATTCATATGCCCATTAATGCCAATTGAATGCAGATCATTGATTCAATATTTGCGGTTTATGTGTATAAAACGCCGTATGATATATCGGTCGTGAACTTAGTACAAGAAAGCGGTCTAGTTTGTAAATGAATGTACATTGTATATACAATTTTAAAAACAGGTGACCCAAACCCCAATCTTATTGTTATGTGTTTAACAGAACACTGAATGGCTGGTTCGACGCCATATTTTGTGTGTATAATTGTCTTCATATCTTTGCAGAACAAAGCTTTAATTTATTAAATCATGTTTATATGATGTGAGAACAATGCTCCCTGAATTTATAATAACTGGCCTCGCGGACTTCAAAAATATCACAGTCCGTGTTGGCCTTGACCTCTAAATTATTACAATTTTATTGTTGACAAATACTACTTGGTGTTTTTCGGGTAGAAATATAGCCGATATGACTGCAAGTGGTTCACTGTCAAACCAAGAGGTCACAATGGGAATTCTGGCATTTCATATAGACTATAATCGGTTTTAGGAAATAATTCTACTGTGTATACTTACTTTATTGGGTCTGTACAGATCAACAGTTACGAATCTGTTGTATTGTACTAGAACGCGCCTGCGCGTACGAGGTGAAACGAACCGCTTGTCGCAAGAAAGTGATAAATGCTATAGAAACCCTGGGTCTTGGATGAAGAGGACCCTCTATGAAATTGAGTCTCCAATAAATATCTATGTAGTGAAATATATTGTAGGCACAGACTCTTCGTCATTAAAGCAGCATTGTTACTGCAGATAACCCTTTTCATATCAGTTTGCTTAACGTTTTCTTTCTTTTTATAAAACCACCCTAAATAATGTTGCAACTTATTTGATGATATATCAGTATAATGACAGTGTTTAAAAAAGGAGAATATTTTGCTAGACTGTTTCTGGAATGTTTGAAGGAAAAACAATAAAATGACATAAAAATGATAATAATAATAATCAAGATCTAGAATCTTTGTCAGTCATTTAAGCAGTCTCTATGTCGTCATGATGTAATCCCACAGAGTTGTTGTCCTTCTGTGATATGACGTTAAATGGGTTCGATGCTCGTTGGTTTGGCGGTTGGTTATGGCGGAAGTCGTCATGCAGCAGAAGACGCTTAACCTTTCAGAACACCGTCTCATTGTAACCCTTCTCATTGTCTCCATGTAAATCTTTCTTTAGTTAATAAGGTGTTATTTTTGATTTCACAGTTAGTAGACTAAGCATTCCAGTTTCAAGTACGAACGACAACTGTGTACTCATTATATTATAGATTACTTATCGTAAAAAAGTGAAATTGTAAGGTGTTAAAATCTTCACCTTTATGGTCAATTGAGTCACTATTCATGTTTAGAGTAAAACAGTAATTGAATGTAATTTTGTAATAATGCAAATGAATTTCGTCAAGTATAAGATCATTCCCTGTCCATTAACCTCTGATATTGTCATGGTAGAGATTGGTAAACACTTAAATACGACCTAAAGATAATCGTTACACATAAGGGTATCGTGTACTAGTCGTTGACCGATTAAATTCAGATACAGCACCTCATGGTTATACATTGTATAATACAATACAACGTAATTAAAATCCAAATACAAAGAGTGCCTCCCTGGGTCGGATTTTAAAACGATTTAGATGAAGTGATAGCACTAATGATTCTGAGGACACTGTAGACAAAGCATTATAAGCTGTTTTATGTCTTTATTTGTCAAAAATTACTAAATACTTCTAATACATTTACGGTAAACCGAGACAGAGGTTGGGAATATAGAATTTGACTTGAGTTTGATTAAAGAAAAAATCTGTTATGGACATGATAGTTTGAAGAACTTTGAAGAAATGTATCACAATTATGAAGTGAATCGTGAAATTTAAAGGATAGATGAATGTACCATAATGGACATTCGTGTTTTATTTCTGCTGTGTGTGTGGACGACGATCTGTAGCCAGGATGTATATGGTAAGGACTCTAACTGAAGGTGACTTGTTGTTGTTGATCGAGACTCTGTGTGTCTCTATATACCTTACTTTTGATGTGGTGTTGATAAAAAAACCCCACTGTATTGCTTTTATACCGGGATGTATGTTTTAAAAAGTTCTGAAAATTTATTAAAGGTTTTTACAATTATCAAAGAAAACTAAGATTATATAGATTAAATACAAAGTGTTTTAGATGGATTTCGTATTAAAGTTTTAAATTTGTTTTCATTTTCATTTTCGTAGACAAATTTTCAGTAACAAATTAAAGACAAACATGATTAATTGCAGAGAAATAATTTTGAAATGCACCTATCAAGAGTTTTCTTTCACGTATAGTCCACGGCAACCTATAAAGCGTTTTCCCCGCCTATGTTAAGTTTATCAGAAAAAAAACAAAACAATATTAACTCTAAACTCTCATAAAAAACGATATGTATTTTTAGATTCTATAAAATTATGTGTAAAATCTTAAATTTCATAAACGGCGATATTAACTTTTAACTTTTAATAAACCCCGGTATTACATTTTGTATTTTTTATCTGCTCCTGATCGGCGACATTCGAATTCAATATAGGATAACAGTTTCGTAAATTCTTCATATCTTGATGTGGAAACTACCCTTTTAGTTTTGATTTCTGTTTTTTTTTATCCGACCATCATCAGATATTGGGTTAATAAAATCTGCCTTCGTCCAACGTCCGTCGTCCACTGGAGGGGCCATTTTCAAATTTCATTTGTACGTTTATCTTGGTCATTAGTTGCGCAAAGTCTATTTTTGTGAGTGATCTGAAAAACAAGATGGCCTGCTGGCGGCCATCTTAGTTTTGACATTCATTCAAATGTAATTTGTTATAGGTATTTCTGCAAATTCACTGGTTGAATTATTATCAGATGTTCTTGTTGATTCTAGTCATTAGATGTACATGTCTATTTTGGAACTGATCAAAGAAAACAAGATGGGCAACAGGCGGCCATCTTTGATTTTAACATTCATTTGTTATCACTATTTGTTTTTTCTAGAGAAATGGATGTTTCACTCTCAAATTTCGTGTGTATAATCTATACGATTCTACACAAAATGGCTGACAGGCAACCATCTTTTATTTGACATTTTGAGAATAGTTTAGCTATTTTCTAGTGTTTTTTTCTTTTTTCTTTAAGCTTTAAGTAACAGCGAAATCAGAAGAGTAAAGAAGGGAAATGATTTAATCTCAGAGGGCAAATCCGGACCTCTTCTTGAAATCCGAGTGAATTTGAATCCCTTTGGTCCTACACCTCATTTTCATTAATCTTTTCCAAAGATTTATGCAAAATTTCATTGAAAATGGTTCAAAGGTTTTTTGGAGGATAAGTTGAAAATATAAAACGCTTAACAAAAGGAGATCGTAACTGCATGAAAAGGTCGAAGTTACTTATTCTTTATCAGGTGGAAGAAAATAAAAAATCACTTCAATCTCCTTCCCACCCCCTCAAATTGAAAACAAAAATGTTTTTGAAAATTATAATTATGAAATAAAGCAGGAAATATGAAACTAGGAACAGAAAAATAACCCGCCATCATTCTAAATTAAAGGACAGTGGAATCTATTGGTTACATAGCATGTGTCAAGGTACTACCGATATCTCTGGTTGTAAAGCGAAAAAGGATAATAATGTATATATATAAATCAGGGACTGACATATATATATATATATATATATATATATATATATATATATAAATCAGGGACTGACCTTCAGCTGTAACTCCTGTTATTATGTTGGTGATATTCTCTGTTACAGGGTACACGGCCACCTCCGGGACAGTATATGAAGGTTACTCCTACACCTTCAGCTGTAACTCCTGTTGTTATGTTGGTGATATTCTCTGTTACAGGGTACACGGCCACCTCCGGGACAGTATATGAAGGTTACTCCTACACCTTTAGCTGTAACTCCTGTTATTATGTTGGTGATATTCTCTGTTACAGGGTACACGGCCACCTCCGGGACAGTATATGAAGGTTACTCCTACACCTTCAGCTGTAACTCCTGTTGTTATGTTGGTGATATTCTCTGTTACAGGGTACACGGCCACCTCCGGGACAGTATATGAAGGTTACTCCTACACCTTTAGCTGTAACTCCTGTTATTATGTTGGTGATATTCTCTGTTACAGGGTACACGGCCACCTCCGGGACAGTATATGAAGGTTACTCCTACACCTTCAGCTGTAACTCCTGTTGTTATGTTGGTGATATTCTCTGTTACAGGGTACACGGCCACCTCCGGGACAGTATATGAAGGTTACTCCTACACCTTTAGCTGTAACTCCTGTTATTATGTTGGTGATATTCTCTGTTACAGGGTACACGGCCACCTCCGGGACAGTATATGAAGGTTACTCCTACACCTTTAGCTGTAACTCCTGTTATTATGTTGGTGATATTCTCTGTTACAGGGTACACGGCCTCCTCCGGGACAGTATATGAAGGTTACTCCTACACCTTTAGCTGTAACTCCTGTTATTATGTTGGTGATATTCTCTGTTACAGGGTACACGGCCTCCTCCGGGACAGTATATGAAGGTTACTCCTACACCTTCAGCTGTAACTCCGGTTATTTTATCGATATGATATCAGCGACTTACTACAAATGTTCCTCCTCGAGCAGCGACGTTACGTCAACATTGGAGTCGTACCTGGATGGAACCACCTCCACCAGACTGACCATAAGTGACAGTTTGCTTGGACATACGACCACTTCTTGTACAGGGTATTTAATCTCCAGCTGGTATTGTGGCCGTAAGTATTATATTGTTATCAGAAAAAAAAACTAGATATCATGCTCGTTTAAAATGTCACAAGGTGAAGAAGATAACAACTTGCTGTTTACTTGTTATTAAGCGAAAAAATACGTTACATTTCGGAAATAGGCGCGACTGTGATTTTTTGCGTTTTTGGGTGGACATAAAAAAAGTGTGATGGCTGTTTTTTTAGTCAGGTTTTTTGGTGGATGTGGTTTTCTAATTCAAGATTATGAAAGTATTTTTACATCTCAAACATTCTTTCAGTTTATATTGTACATGCATCGAAAAACAATTATTCCGTTCTAAAAGCATGTAAGCCTTAACACAGTTATAACTGAACTAATTACTAATCACAGGACAGAAATCATCTGTATTCGAAAAGAAAAGAAATACTGGCTACGCTTTAGAAGGGGACTTGATTAATTGCCTTCAAGTATACATGGTTTTTGTAGAACGACTACAATGTAAACAGGTGTAAACAAAAAGTAAACAGGTGTAAACAAAACGTAAACAGGTGCAAACAAAAAGTAAACAACACAATGAAAATCTGGAAAATAAAGGAAGTGCCGGACAAACACAATCCAGGATCCTGGCCTGTTGATACTTGAAAGTATCCCGCTGCTAACTATCGGTTGCACAGACCGGAAATACATAGCTTAACAAAATTGTAAAGTCACATACCATTGTAATTGGAGAGACTAAAATTCGAGAAAATTTAGGATTTTGATCTAACTCGATAGATGATATCACCTGCATTTGTACAACTTTTCTCCATTAGACTGCGCTCGTTGAAACCAAAACAGTTCACTGGAATGCCTGTCTCTCCTACTGTGGCTTTTTCTCTTCGTAACGTTGGCCAAGGCGACAATTCAACATTGCAACAAAATTACACCGCCAACGCGACAACGCGACAAAATGGTATATCGCGCTGTCATTGTACTTTTGTCGCGTTGTCGTTATTTAGCTTTCTCTGATACTTTTGTCATACTATCATGTTGGTGGTACTTACATTTTGTCGCGTTGTCGCGTTGACGACCCCTACCAACGCAACGCGAAATTGCCGAAATCAGCCACAATACTATCTGCTAGACTTCGCTTCGAAAATACGTCAGGTCAGGGCTATCAATCGGATCATTTTGATTGGTTGATATTTAGCAATGGGTATTTCTTTCTTAGTTGGGTATTTTGGTCAACCTGACATGCCTTAGTTTCGGCAACGAGCACAGTCTAGCGGGAAAAATTATGACAATAAACTGAACTTTTTAGATTTTTAATACTCGAAATTTTGAAATTGTAACCGGCAGATATTAACCAGAAATTTCGAGATAATTACTCTTCAAGATAAAAAAATCATGCAAGTGACAGTTGTAACTTTCGCAAGACTACTTTAGTTTTTATTACCGTTACACTTCTTGTAAGGTTTTTATGATAGGTTTGTTTTCCAGGAAATGCCGGGTGGTCTGACTGGGGATCCTGGAGTGACTGCACTGTGCTCTGTGGAGGAGGTGTTACGGTATCTCGAACACGGTCTTGTGACAACCCTACACTTGTGTACCCAGGGTCCTACTGCAGTGGGAGTGACACGGAAACACAATATTGTAACACACATGCTTGTGATGGTAACGATAATTTTGTGATAGATAACACATTGCGTTTTTGTGTACAGCCTTTGTACATGTACCCCTCAGTCCCTAAAGATAAATGATTAATTCCAGTATTTCATTGGCCAAAATATAGTAATAGAAATCAATTCATACATTTCATCAACAAAAATTAACTTGATTTATTTGTGAACGAGTTGTTTCCCTTCTTTGAATCTCGTTTGCCGGAGTTAAAATGAGATAACTCGTAAGTATACCTCGAGATTTCATACAATGGCTGAAAAATGGAAAATGAAACATCTTTTATATTCACTCGGTTATAACTGATATGTGACAATTTCAACGTTGAAAATCCATGGACAGAAGTAATATGTAGGATTTTTCTTAATAGACAATGATACGTTGAGGCCCACTTCAAATTTAGTACCGTGTTGCATTTTCACTACCAAAACTAAAGTCACACACGTTTTCTTATAATGTGATAAGGCTATGCCGAAAAAGAGCGTACCTTTAAAATTGCATGGCCTTAGATGACGTGACACCTTATCGGGTTTCGTCACACCTGAATGAACGGAAATTAAGATATGTATTTTAATCAGACTGGTTATTTTTATTTTCATTTTAACATCGATTGGTTGATTTTTGTACCTTACTGATCTATATTACTGTGTTGGATCTCTGTAGTTCTGTTGTAAATTTATATAAAACTGCTCTTATAAGTACTGCATAGTCCTAATATTTACAGGAACATCACGTTGAAAACATTAAATTAGTTATCGATTACATGTGTTTTTTTTAAACATTTCCATGTACATTTCTATGTTATTCACAAGCAAATTCCAATATCCAGCTTGTCCACTTGGTTTCGAAAACCCCCACTCTAAAATTTGTACTGATAACATTACATAATAGTACTGAAAACAAGGCAGTTCATTCTCAGTAAAGAAAGTCCTGGTTTTCAACACTAGTTTTTGTTATGGGTATAAGAAATATTATTTGATAACTGTAAGTCAATTCTGCATTACAAAATTAGTGACAGCCAATATTGTTATGACCCAGTGTTGACATTCAGTGATGTTTACACATCCTGACTGTTGATCAACAGATAGGGATTTCCTTTTTTTTTGTAAATATCAATTAACATATTAATGTGAATCACCAAAAACAAACAGTTATTGTTCATAACATGATATATCAGATATACATATGTATGCAATGATAAAAAAATAAATCCCCCCAAATTAACATGTAGTCAGCAAACGAAATCATTGGCGAAACATATGGGAAGGGAGGCAACTCTGTGTAATGTACCTTTTCCCAATACATTATTTGTAGAGCTATGTTTTGGCACCAGAGATGCATTCTTGTAAACAGTACACATATATTAGCCTAAGTAGGAAATTCCGAAACTGCATTTTGGGCTATACACATATCAAGTCCAATATTGGATACATGTGTGTTCTTACAATATTGTTGAATGATTTCAGATCACCTGAACAGTTTCAACTGGGTTAGGCAAAAGTGGTCTTAGAATGAACAAATTATGTAACACTTACTCAAATCACACGTTACTGGATATCTAACTCAAATCTACTCGTATAATTGTTAGATAACCCTTGATCACCTGGGATGTCTTGCATTTCAGATGATGCGCAGTTGGTGAATCACAGAGGACGTAAGTACCCCCTTATGATTCAGATCTACAGATCAGTACTGCAATAACACACCCACCATTGTCACCATCTCGCCTGATTTCATCAAGTCAACCATTATTTCTGTGACATAAGAATATTTGATCTCAAATATCATTTTTGTGATGTTGGATCATTTTTGTGATGTTGGAACTTTGACTTAACATATAATTTTTGTGATATCAGAATGCAATGGAATTGCTTTTTCTTATTAAAAAAATGAATAACTGTTAGCAGTCAAAGTATTTGCTAGATTTTGATGTTGTGGGTGATATTATGGAATTAGTTTTATTAATAATGCATTGTTCCTACAATTAAACCAGTTTCACTGAACATGTGGGCATGTTACAGTCAATCACACTACTTATCAGTCATATGTTTAATTATATTTTTGTTTATACAGTATAGGGAAAAAATTTGGTGTCTCAAAGAAAACATTAACAGGAATGTGACATTAACAGATGTGACATTAAGTGGATTCTACTGTTGGATATTACTAAAATTAGTGTTTCAAAGAAAACATGGCATTAACAGGAATGTTACATTAACAGACATGACATTAAGTGGGTTCTGCTGTATAGTATATTACTAATGATATCTATTGAATAGGCTCAACATTATCTATTACAACATTTAGGTTAAGCACAGTAATATGATTAGCATTATATATGTATAGAGTATATTTCAATAACAAATCTTTGTTCACCAGCATGGACCTTGGTGTACAAGGCACCAGCGGGTACGACAGTATCAGGATACAATGATTACTACTCGCACTTCGCAGACAGCACCACTTCTAGCACTTTGAACGACGGATCCGTGACAGTCATGCGAGACTTCGGTTCTGGCGGAAGTGCATTCAAATCTTCCAAACTGCTACAGTGGGAATCTGGCATCACCATATCGGCTGTACGTAAATGATAATTGTTTAATATCAATTTATAAGACTTTCTGAAAACTATGTAACCCATGAACAGAATCGTGCAGAAAGCTCACTGATACCGGATGTTAAACTAACAGTAATTTTGCCAGATATATGTCTTAGTGTACAAGTTGAGAGTACAGGCTCTGGTTCTTTAAATGCTGTTTATAGGTAACAAGTGGTTAGTGAAAATTTTCAAACATATATGAAAGAAAATTGGAAACATTTCTGATCATTTCACAGCTGTAGGTTTGTTGAAACAGGTGAGATTGAGATCTTTTGAGTGTTTAGCAGTCACAATTTTAATTTTTCACTAACCACAGGCTAACCCTTTCAGCAAGTTGTCTTTCTAGCATCAGCTAGTGGGATTTTCTCTGAGATCCAATAGTAGAATGTGTGGCTTGAGAACAAAAGGTCTCAATGTTCAGGGTTTCAATTGTGATTGTGCATTGTGCATAGATTCAATAACCAAAAGGCTAAGGGTGCAGATATTGGACTGTGTAATCCTGGGATGAAGGGCTATTAATTTTGTTCAAGTGAATGACTTTTTCTCTTTTGAAAGGTCACAGAGTCAAATGTGTTAAAATCTTCAAACAAATTCTCAATAGCAAAACGGTCCAGGCAGTTGATACTGGTTCTTTAACATACATGGATAAATGGCTACCGTTTTATTCAAATAACTGACCTTGACCTATATTCAAGATCTCTTAGGTCAAATGAGTTGAGACCTTAAAATTTCTTTTTCTAAAATCAGTAGGTCTGGAGTGATGGCATTTGTGTAGTAGCATGTATAATTTGAAACATCATCTTTATTTTATGTCCTTATTTAACTGTTCGAGAACAAACACATTTAAACTGTATTGGAAACATTACTGTTTTTGATCTCTAATGATCTGTTCTACAGGTGAAGTTGTCAGTCTTTAAAGATGGAGAGGAGGCTGCCTATGTTATATTTGATGCACGTGGGAAAGGGAAGTTGGAATGGTTTGACTGTGATAACATTGTTGGCTCCAGTTACACAGATATAGCATCCTATTCTGAGAATTACTGCGGACTCTCGTAAGTATTTTTCACTTGCATTAACTATAGATTGTTTGAATATTCTGCCTATTGGATTGGTGTAGTTATTCATTATTTCATATTGTTATCAAGAAAATGGTTCATTTACATACTTAGGAGGATGAGGAGAGCCCTTACCATGCTGTATTAAAATGTTAACTTCCTTTTCCAGACCGTACTCATCAAATTACAAAAGAAACTTCTACATCAATGCCTACGGTACTGCATGTACAAGCACTTATGGATGGATAATGTTAAAAGACTACAATTCCATATCTGGATGTTCTGTGTGGGACCCAGCTACAACCAGTAATCCATATATAAAGTATTCTACTAGTACCACACTGCAGAATTTTTACACTGGTAAGTGATATAAAACAGCATTACCACACTGCAGAATTTTTACACTGGTAAGTGATATAAAACAGCATTACCACACTGCAGAATTTTTACACTGGTAAGTGATATAAAACAGCATTACCACACTGCAGAATTTTTACACTGGTAAGTGATATAAAACAGCATTACCACACTGCAGAATTTTTACACTGGTAAGTGATATAAAACAGCATTACCACACTGCAGAATTTTTACACTGGTAAGTGATATAAAACAGCATTACCACACTGCAGAATTTTTACACTGGTAAGTGATATAAAACAGCATTACCACACGGCAGAATTTTTACACTGGTAAGTGATATAAAACAGCATTACCACACTGCAGAATTTTTACACTGGTAAGTGATATAAAACAGCATTACCACACTGCAGAATTTTTACACTGGTAAGTGATATAAAACAGCATTACCACACTGCAGAATTTTTACACTGGTAAGTGATATAAAACAGCATTACCACACTGCAGAATTTTTACACTGGTAAGTGATATAAAACAGCATTACCACACTGCAGAATTTTTACACTGGTAAGTGATATAAAACAGCATTACCACACTGCAGAATTTTTACACTGGTAAGTGATATAAAACAGCATTACCACACTGCAGAATTTTTACACTGGTAAGTGATATAAAACAGCATTACCACACTGCAGAGTTTTTACACTGGTAAGTGATATAAAACAGCATTACCACACGGCAGAGTTTTTACACTGGTAAGTGATATAAAACAGCATTACCACACGGCAGAGTTTTTACACTGGTAAGTGATATAAAACAGCATTACCACACTGCAGAGTTTTTACACTGGTAAGTGGTATAAAACAGCATTACCACACTGCAGAATTTTTACACTGGTAAGTGGTATAAAACAGCATTACCACACTGCAGAATTTTTACACTGGTAAGTGGTATAAAACAGCATTACCACACTGCAGAATTTTTACACTGGTAAGTGGTATAAAACAGCATTACCACACTGCAGAATTTTTACACTGGTAAGTGATATAAAACAGCATTACCACACTGCAGAATTTTTACACTGGTAAGTGGTATAAAACAGCATTACCACACTGCAGAATTCTTACACTGGTAAGTGGTATAAAACAGCATTACCACACTGCAGAATTTTTACACTGGTAAGTGGTATAAAACAGCATTACCACACTGCAGAATTTTTACACTGGTAAGTGGTATAAAACAGCATTACCACACTGCAGAATTTTTACACTGGTAGAATTTTTACACTGGTAAGTGATATAAAACAGCATTACCACACTGCAGAATTTTTACACTGGTAAGTGATATAAAACAGCATTACCACACTGCAGAATTTTTACACTGGTAAGTGATATAAAACAGCATTACCACACTGCAGAATTTTTACACTGGTAAGTGATATAAAACAGCATTACCACACTGCAGAATTTTTACACTGGTAAGTGATATAAAACAGCATTACCACACTGCAGAATTTGTACACTGGTAAGTGATATAAAACAGCATTACCACACTGCAGAATTTTTACACTGGTAAGTGATATAAAACAGCATTACCACACTGCAGAATTTGTACACTGGTAAGTGATATAAAACAGCATTACCACACGGCAGAATTTTTACACTGGTAAGTGATATAAAACAGCATTACCACACTGCAGAATTTGTACACTGGTAAGTGATATAAAACAGCATTACCACACGGCAGAATTTTTACACTGGTAAGTGATATAAAACAGCATTACCACACTGCAGAATTTTTACACTGGTAAGTGATATAAAACAGCATTACCACACTGCAGAATTTTTACACTGGTAAGTGATATAAAACAGCATTACCACACTGCAGAAATTTTAAACTGGTAAGTTATGTTAACTTGTTAAATGTGTCATTGATGCTTGCATTGTCTGATGGTACTTCTCTCATTAGTTCTAACATGATAATCAAGTACACTGTAGGAAGTGAAATAGCAACATGAAGTATGATAATTTATGTAATAGTTTTTGTATGAAACTTTGAGTGTTGTTTTTAAGTCATATTTTTTCATTCAGAATAATTGACTGGTAATAACTATATCATATTTGTCAAAATTGTTTCATTTTCTCTCCACAGGTTCAATAGGCAATGGTGACAGCCTGGCTATATTCATTATGGGTATGTATTACTGGTAATGAAAGCAACTATCAAACCAATCAGAGAATATGATGTTACATTTAGAAAAAAAATGACAGTTTTAAGTTAAAGCAGTAGTGAATTCATTGGTTTATCAGCATTCTAGAGTAAAATTGTCCAGTATTTTCCCTTATTACTATTGATCTTGTGCAATCAAAATTGATAATATTGGTTGCTTTTATCATTTTGATATCTTCCCAATTAAAGAAAATACATGTTTATAGAACTGATAAAGGCAATGTCCCATTCCCAAAATCCCTACTCTGTGACCAAACAAATTTAATATTCTACTCCAATGTCAGGTAGTCAAAAAAATATATGTATTTTTATCGACGCAATGGTTTTCAGAATGGCACATGGTTTTCAAGGGAATCCAAGGTGTGACCCCTGCGGCAGGGTCACTGGAAACACTGTGGACGGGGTCTACTGTTGAAAATGACAACGATGACACGAAAACCACCATTACAAACTCACCAAGTGATACTGTAAAATCAAGTCTGGTGGAGGACTGGCAGGGATACTTTACTATGATTGATATGGCAAGTTATTCATCTATTCTTTTAACAGACTTTCTTTCAGGTTTTTGATTATTATAACACTGCTTAATATGTAGTCACTCAGTCTTGCCCGTTATGCTGTGTGGCATGTAGGGCGGCTTAATATGTAGTACTCACAGATGAAAGGTATGGTGGTCTAATGGTAGGAGGTTTGTGATTGGAGGGACATAGTTTAGATACTCGCTGATCAAGATACTTTACTTTTCTTGTTGATATCAGCTATAAATAGAATTGTTCGGCAGTTCTGGGAATTCTGGGAATATGTGTACAACCTGGTATTGCTAGATGACAGTTCTGACAGCATGCTCCAGGAGGAGTTTAGAAAAATTTTGGCTATTAGTAAAAAGTTGACTTCTAAAATAGAACATCATCTCGTATTATTTGTATAAATGATGTTTTCAGTAACAGGAGAGTTATCTTGATTGTAGTTGTTTTTGATGACAGGTGAAGTACGCGTATTTCACAAGCGGCGAAGAAAAAGCATATGTCGTGTTTGATGGACGAGGTACAACAAAGTCAACATGGTTTGCTGACGGAAAAGAAATATATTCTAGTTACACTGACATCACAACAGATACACCAACCACAAGTGGTATAACAGGGTAAGCCTTACCTGAGATTGCCATACATACCTGTAGGTGAAACTTACACTGAAATACTTTTTCAACATCTTTTCATGTCAGTTATGCTGCCCACGAGGTATTTCTAAGATAAGATGAACTTTATACAAAACGTATTGTTGGTATGTCTTGATGAATGTTTTATTGTTGTTGATATTTTATGTACTAATGTTTTCCCATGTTTGGTTGTTGTTTGCATGAGATATGATTAAAATCTGTTGAAATAACATTAAGCCTTACAGTTATTCTAACTCGAAGAGGGACAACTCTTGTTAAATAATCAATAGATGGGATTTACCAACTGATGATTTAATGGATTGAATCTGAAATTGTATAGTGGATATCTTGTAAACAGTAACATTCCAATATTTTTATTGAAATAGTGGCACAATCTATATTTGTCTTTCTGTGCATACTTATTGAAGTACTCACTGTTTGACTCTATTTTATTTTTAAAGTGACACATACCGTAAGTTTGCTCTGATACGAACTAGTAGTTCATGTTCCGGTTTATCGGCCTGGATGATGGTTCTGGATGTTGGAGGAAGTGTAGCCTGCTCGTTTGATAATAATGTACAAACACGCCCCTACTTCCTGTATAGTGGCGGTACAACAGACAGTGTTGCAGAGTCAGGTAAGAATATAAAACTTCCTTTGCAATCTTCAAAAAAAAAAGGCAAAACAAAATTAATTCTAAAAGAAGTTTGAAGGTCAAGGTGGCCAAAATTCTCTGGTGATAATGTATTGAAAAGATAGTTCAAGTGATTTAAAATAAGATCAATATGTTGCTACACTTCTTTTTTTCCCTACCGACGTGACGTTATGGAAAAAAGGAAAGGTTAATTTTCACTTAGATCTGAACTTTTTGTATAAAAGTTATTTAGTGTTATTTTGGAGGAAATCTTTTTTATTCTGTTTCATTAAAATGTTATAAAAAGGAATTCAGAGGTTAATAAAATGTAGCAAGAAGGTACTGTGATGATACAGAATTCTCATTCTCATTTTTTCATGTTCAAAACAGTATGGCATACCTTAAATTTCATTTTTGACATTATATCCAAATTCATGGGGTTTCATGCTTTGATAAAGAGATATGAGGTGATGTGTTTCATGATTACATAATATTGTATTACTGTGGTTTGCTTTAGCACTTTCCATTCAGTACTTGTAACCCATGTCTTCTGAGAGAGAAAATTTAATTTCCAGGTCTAAAAAATCAGGGAAGGGATCCACTCAGCTAGGATTCACTTATTTTGCATCTCTGATTCGTGTTGATAATTAATCCTCAGTTTTATTGAAATCTTTCCAAGATTCCCTTATTCTCATTGAAATCAATGATAATGTTAACTAAATGATGACATTAACCACACAGTAAAAAATTGGAGATCACAAGCAAAAATTCTACAAAATATCATTAGAGATCCATTCTAGTTTAACATTGTAGATAGAGATGGATATAATAAGTATGAAATTTAAGACATTCTTAATTTGGAATTAATTTGATTTCGAATTATGTTCTACTTTCAGTAAGACCTCCTATTAATTTTTCATGTTTCTTGGAATGTTTGGAAGGTTAAAGACATAACTTCTCCTTTAAAAGTATTTTGTAATCAATTCATCAATTTCAAATGTCAATTAAGATTTTGTTGACAGGTTTCTCTTTCTCAAACCTGAACTGGCCAAGGATGAACCATAATTGTGGATCACATTGTTCTTGATTTCTGAATGAAGGGAAAGCACTTTTTTGTTCAATTTTTAAGGAATGTTGTCATGTTAACTTAACAAACTGTATCTATTCTAAACCTTTGTAGGTGGTTTGTGGTACTCCGCTGGATTTCCCGCTGCACATACTATGGGCATTTTTGTGAAAGGTTTGTTGTACTTTCCTGTCTGTATCAAAACCAATTTGAACTCATTTAGATTTTAAAAATTAAGTAGAAACATTTTTTGGCAGGGAGGGAGTAGGGGAAAGAGCAGGTGATGGAATATTACCTTTCTAATCATCAGTACAATCAGTAATTAGCATGACTTTGATACTGAATATTAAAACACGAGAAAAGATCACAGAGGTGGCACAGTGATGTCAATTAACAAACAAATCCTTCTCTTCTGCAGGGTTTTACCCAGTGATGAAGTGGGCCAGAGGTCAAACAATATCCCCAGCTTCCAGTGTCTACAACCTTTGGACTGGGACGTATACATTGAATGAATTTACAACTTCTGCTCATTCGTTTGCTGCCTCTACAGCTACATATAAATCCAGTATTGTAGACAGTTGGACAAGTTATTACATCAAGGCGGTAAGATGGATAAGAAAAATTGATAATATGAGACAATTGTTCATCTGATTTCGCCCTGATATTTTATGAGGTGGCTTAAAGCGTCCTGTCCTGTCATATAGGTCTTAAGAACCTTAAAACAGCTGGTAACATAACATCAGCTTCTATGCATTATCATATAAAGGTGGTCATCCATTTAGGTTAAAGGGTCAATGGTCACATTTGATAACCTTAGCAACTTCACGAAAAGGTGATACTTATTTAACCATGGTAAGTACATATACTAGCTACAATATATAGCTCACCTAGAGAGAACTTCTCATTACCTTAAACAGTTGTGTGACAGTATATCAGAGGTTCTGGGTTCGAATACTAGAGAAGGCATTAAAATAAAAATGACCACCTTTACACTTATATGCAATGGATTGAGGGCATCCATGCCTTAATTATATATATATTTCAGAATATCGGGTTATGGCAATATATCTTTATATCCCTTATTTGTCAGGTTCGTGTGTCTATGTACAGTGGTGGGTCTGAAGTGGCCTACGTGGTGTTTGATGCCCATGAATCAGACAAAACGACCTGGTTTGATTGTGATAGAATTTTGTACACGAATTACCAGGATCTAAACCGACGGACAGGCTCATTTACGCACTGTAGTATTGCTGGGTAGGTGGAATGTATCACAGTACTATTATAAAGGAGTAATTGTTGAGGAAATATTCACAATAATAAAAAGTATATTTTCTTGAAAAACTGAAACACTAGAGAAATTTTGATCATGTATGAGAATTGCAACAACTAAATTTGTAAAATTTCTGCTATATATTTTGCCTAATTAATTGGTATTAATCAGTATATTGGACTTGTAGAGACTCCTCGGCATACAGACGTTTTTTTATTGAGTACACTTACTCAAGTTGTACCACAGCAGGAGGATGGATTGGTGTATTTGAAGGGTCTGATTGTGGATTTGATAACCTTGGTACATCACCATTCGCATTATACAGTGATACATTGCCTGGGTTTGAATACAATATCAGTAAGTATAATGTAAACTTCATGGTTAAAATGTTTTGAAAATTGAAATTAGAATAAGGAGTAGTAGGCATAATGAAACTGATTTTGATAAGTGTAATGAAATATCAATTTCTTTTATTATAGAAACAGAAACAAAATGTTTTTACCAACCTTATGTTTTATTTGGCTTTATCATTAATTCATTCTGTCTTTGTTTAGAAAAAATATATCTATATATATTTATAAATATCAATAAAAAACAATAGAATGTTTGATTCCTTTGCAATCCGACCTACCACCAAAGAAAAGCAGGACATTATTTCTCTCCCATTCTGTCAGGAGTTTTTTATTTTATGTAATGTTCAGGTAAAAGAGAAAAGATTGACTTCAGAGAGAGCTTTTTTGATTGTTAAATGCGTGTTAAAAACTACAGCATGTATATTATTTCTATTGATAGACATGGCGATTGCTGACGTGTTTGTGATATCAGTTTGTAAGTAAAAAATGAAATGGTTCATTAATAAAAGTCTTAAATGTAACATCTTTGTTGATAATATACAAATTTCTGTTCCTGTTTGAAATCTTGGGTAGAAATGTGACTTTGAATATAAACTTTTGCACAAGTGAGGCTTGGTTTAGAAGTAACTTTCAGTATTCAGAATTGAGAAGGATTGATATATAGAAGTTTTTTATTGCTATAATAAAGAGGATAACATTCTGTGCATTATTTTTTAGTTCAGTTTCATTGGGCGATCAGTTTTGAGAAAGATTGGTTTGGGAAAGTTGCACTGGATAAATGTTTTACAACTATAATGTCAATATCATGTTTTCAATAAAGCCCATTTATTCCATCAGATATAACTCGCCTTATAACACTTTCAATAAACTATTGGTAGTAACGGTGCCTTCTATGTTAGGGTAACAATGTATTCCTTGTTGTAGCCATGGACAATTTCTGTGACTTTAGTCCTTGTCAGAATGGAGGCACATGCTACCACAGGGGTGTAAAGTATGATTGTGTCTGTGCTGGAGATTACTATGGATTAGACTGTGCTGACCGTAAGTTCAGGTTTGACTACCACAAGTTTACCTATTTGTTAATCAAGTATGTTTAAAATGTCTCCTTTTTGAATGAAAGGACCCATATAGTTTTGTACTAGGTCTCCTGGACTTCCAGTTCTGGACTTCCGAATCTGGACTTCCGTGTCTGGTTTTTCAGTTCTGGACATTTCGACATTTCGGTTCTGAACATTTCGGTTCTGGACGTTTTGGTTCTGGACTTCCGAGTCTGGACTTTAAGTTCTGGACTTCCGAGTCTGGACTTCTGGTTGTGGATGTTCTGGTTCTGGACTTTTGGTTCTGGACTTTCGGTTCTGGACTTTTGGTTTTGGACTTCTGGTTCTGAACATTTTGGTTCTGGACATCTACTTCTGGACTTCCCAGTCTGGACTTTCGGTTCTGGACTTCTGGTTCTGAACATTTCGGTTCTGGACATCTAGTTCTGGACTTCCGAGTCTGGACTTCTGGTTGCGGATGTTCTGGTTCTGGACTTTCGGTTCTGGACTTTCGGTTCTGGACTTTAAGTTCTGGACTTTTGGTAATTTCTTGTCTGGGCATGACTTAGAAACCGTTGAAGAAATCTTGACAGTCAAAGGTCAAATAAGTGCAAATTTTTCCAACCTCAAGGTTAAAGGTCAAAGTGACAAAGTGCAGTGCCTTGCCATTCGATCATTTGACCTGTAGTGCATTTTCCCCCAATAATTAAATAATAACAGTAACTGAAAGTATCAGGCAATTTTACTCTTGCACATCTAAGCTACTACAAAAATTTTGGTTCTCTAAAAAAATCTCAGTTTTTTATTCACTGTTTAGTGATATGTGTCGTAATGTTTCGCAAGTAGTGTTTTTATTGTGTCACTAGTTCAACGTTGAATTTGTCTGAATTGTCATCTGAAACAAATCACTTATTCTGTCAAAATTGAAGAACAAACAGATTGAATCATTATTTTATTTGATATATTATTTTTAGTTGACGGAAACTTCACGACCTGGACGGACTGGAATACATGTAGTACGACGTGTTACGCATGGGGAACACAGAGTAGGACGAGAACATGTACCAATCCAACGCCAGCCGGCCCAAACGGTCAAAGCTGTACGGGAGATACGTCAGAAACACAGACATGCATTCCAGATCTTGATGCGTGTTCAGGTACGAAGGAGTATAATATTTCATTCGTATTTGAAAGGAAGCCATTTATGTTCGTCGCCCATAGATTCATTTTATCCATCATAACTGACTTTATTCAAAATATAGAATTGCTTTAAAGCGGACACTTTTTGTAATTGTGACTTTGTTGCAGTGTACAATACTGGAAACATCCAAGTTGACTCGTCCTACACCATGGTGTGTCCGTCGGGACTGCACATATTTGTATCGAGTGCCTTTTATGGATACAGTAGTACCTGCTACGATACAGATCCTCTGTCTGACGTCAGGGTTGTGTGTCAAGGAAGGAACACTAACTGTACCATTACCTTCAATGATGCGACTTTTGGTGGAAATCCTTGTTCATCATACTCAGTCACGAAATACGGATATGCTACAATGACCTGTGTTGGTGAGTAGATCATGTAGTTTAGTCCAACCTCGTTATCTCGTTGTTGGTGGGTAGTTTATATGTACTCCCTGAAAGTATGATATGAAATATTAGTGAGTTATAATTAAATCAGAATATGATTACAGTTGTGTGTCAATTTCTGTTTCCCTGGTAACAGATATACATCAATACACTAGAAATGATTATTGTGTTTCTTCACTTGCAGAGTCTTTGAAGTTATCTACATTCCAAGGCCGTAAGTAAAACACATGACATTTTTGATAATTATCAAAACTTCTGTAATGTTGCATCCTTCGGCATATGTTTAATTGAAAGTATCAACAATTCATTACTTTTTTGTTAATAACGCTTTAAACAATTCAATAAGGTTACATAAGGTAAGATTTTTCAACTAGACTTTAGAGTGAGATTTATTGGCTTAACTTCAGCTTGGCGGCTGGTATTCAAGGCTCCCTCTGGCACAGCTCCACCTTCATCATATGCTGATGTAGCCTCGTTTTACCTGTCGTCTGATACAGTAAATGATGGTACAGAGAGTGTGATGACAGACTTCTCATCCGGAGGCCAAATGTACAAATCTGCGCTGTTGAATGAATGGGGAGTCAACAAAACATTCTCAGCTGTATGTAGTCATGTACCCTCTATCAATATAGAATTATTCTCAGCTGTATGTAGTCATATACCCTCTATTAATATAGAATAATTCTATACTCATATGCTTGGTATTATTAACAATCATCCGGTGGCATTCTACAATATTTTATTAGAAAAAGTCCTGAACTGAAGGGATGATACGACTTTCATTTTTGGGAAAATTCAATGTTATTTTGTTTTTGTTATTTACACTTTTCATTGCTTACCATAGGTTCGATACTCGATTTACAAGAACGGAGAGGAGGTTGCATACATTGTATTTAATGGTCATGGTACATCTAAAGACACCTGGATGGACTGTAGTAACATCCTGTATTCAAGTTACACAGATATTACGACGGTGTCAAAGAACTATTGTGTTATTCAGTGAGTTTATCTTTAATTCAGTGATGCTGCCTACAGGTAAACAAACTGTGTTAATGATGATGAAAATGCATCCATGAAATGTTTTAGTTTTTGCTTTATTTGTATCTTATCTTAGAATCATTGAATTACTATTTAGATCTTGTCCTTGATTGTATATTGCAATGAAACAATTAAAAAAATTTTCTCTTGAAAAAAATTAAAATGTTCAAGCAGTCTGCATGTCAATGTTTAAAATATATAGAGCACCACTTACCATCAACACGATTTGTATTTACAAGCTACACAACAAAAAAAACTTCAAATTTGTATTTAAAACTAAATAATCCCTAACCACTGTCAGCAATTTCAATGTAATGTGATTAATGTCATTTGTAATATAAAAGCTATGGTTTTGATATCAGTAATTTGTATTATCATTACCAAATTGCTGATATTTTCAAAGTTAAGAATGAAAAGAAATTCTCTGATGTGTCTGTTGGGAATATATCATGAAAACATTTCCTCTAATTTATATACATTGTAATTATCAACTTCCAGATATACTTCATCTACAACATTTAAGCATAATTTCTACATAAGTGCAACCCATGGTGGGTGTAGCGCTGCTACTGGATGGGTTTTTATCAAAGACTACGGATCTTTGTCGGGCTGTTCTGCTTGGGCTCCGTACGATGGATCTAGGACAATGCCGTATGTTGCATATTCAACAGCAAGCACATTGACAACATGGAATTCAGGTGGATTGTTAATGTGTTCATTCCTTGAAGATTATTCTTATTAATAAATATGATTATAACCTAATTATCTATTTTTAAAACATGATAAACATTATATGTTCTTTTTCCCCCATGTTGTATGCATTTTGTTGATTATTCTATCCATTCATTTATAATTTCACATCAAACCTGACAGCAGATGAAAATGTGATGATGTAAAATGACACACTAACTTGTAGTTCATTCAATATCAAACAATAGACTGTTTTATCTACTCCTAGAAATATATTCCAGTTTTGCTAAAATTGATTTCCTCTTACTCTGACAGGAAACATGGATTATGCAGATGCAGTTGGAATATTTGTCCAAGGTAATTAACACATATATAAGTGTCCTTTTACTGTTCTGTTACACTTGTTGAACCTCACCTTTGTAATATGCTGTAACTCTGAATCAGTAGCTGTTCGAGATGGCCTGATAAAGTGGTTTAGATGTAATATGTGACGTTGACGTTAAATGATACTTTTACGGGTTGCTCCTATTAAATTGTGCAATTATGTCTAAAAACAATTATGTGCAAGTAGGTTACAAAGAAGCTTTTTTCTTTTGTTTACTTATTTATTTTAAGATCATTAATTCAAAACATCTCCTCATTTTCAAAGAACGATATCAAACAGATAGACAGTTTTAGAAGTAACACTGGAAATGTACAGTGAGTACAAGAACTCTGATAGAAAAGTTGGTAATTTGTCACTAAAGGGATTTCACCTGGGACTATTATTTGTTCATCAATGAGTAGAACAACACTGTTATTATCATATATCTGTCTCGTAGACTGGCATATGACATTCAAGGGAGTGGATGGCGTCACGCCCACAGCAGGTAACTTGGAAACCCTTTGGGAGGGTAGTACTACAGAATACAACGGTGATGAGACAGTCAAGACAATCACCAATGTTCCAGCTGTTTCTTACAAATCCGCCGTTGTGGAGGACTGGTCAAGCAACTGGACAATCATTGACCAGGTAAAGTATAAAAGCCATGGAATATGTTTACTTTGATAGTATGTAATGGTACCATACATTTCTATCATGTTTTTATTAGGTGGGAGGAGTGAGAAAAGGGGAGGGGATGTGGTTATATAGTTATCACTTTGTGTGACCGTAATAACCCTGTGTACAAGATATCTCATAAACCCATCGACCAATTTAGTTTATATTCACACCATAACATCACTCTGCCAATATCTACACCTGGTCAGGTTTTGGTGGTCATAGGGTAAAGGTGAAAGGTCTTGATGACTTTTGAAATAAAAGGCTTGTGTACAAGATATCTCCTGAACACCTTATTGCTTTATATTTTAGGTCTCACTTGTCAGAGAGCTTTGGAGATGCATGAATAGGACTGCAATGGCATCCCTGTAGGTCGTAATCTTTCTCAATGTGGTACTGTCCAATAAATTACAGTCTCTCCACCCTCTTTGTCTTTGGTTTGATCTAGTTGTTAGGACATCATCTCACAGGGGAAAAATCATGTTTGTGATTGATTTTGATGACTGTTCTTGAGCTCCAAACAGTTTAACTGGAGCCTGGTCATATATTTCTCTGACATAACAAATGTGTTCTCTTCCAGTTTAATTTTCATTTGTGTTTATTTATAGTCACCGGAAAATGATGACTCTCAATCAATGACACCACATTTAGTATACAATCATAAAAGTTATCATTATTGCTTTCAGGTGAAATTTTCATTCTTCTCCTCTGGGACGGAAGTTGCACACGTTGTCTTTGATGGAATTAACTCAGACAAGAATTCCTGGTTTGCCGTATCAAACATCCTGTTTTCATCTAAGTATGGAAGTGTAGCTTCGACTGCAACCTCTGCCAGTATATCAACGTATGTATTGCCTTTTCACCTTCAACATAATTATATAAACGAATGCTGCATTTCTGAGGAAAACCAATCTGATAAGAAGTCAGATGTAAAGTAACCGCTGAAATTACTCAAAATTTATCTGATATTATCTTGTATTATTTGTGTGTAGTTTTATCATTATAATTTGGGTCTAATTTTTTTTATTTGCATCAGTATCTGATTTAAATGGTTTCCTATTCATGTCATATAATTTCAATACCCATAAACAGAAATTAATGGACATTTCAATATTTCTTCCACTAAAAAGAGATGGGACAAGAACTTTTTCCATTGTCAAGAACTCGACAAGCTGTGCAGCTTTTGAGGCTTGGATGTTCGTCCTTGACGATGCCTCTGGAAGTACTACATGCTCATTTGACAACAATGTGAGGACACGTCCCTACTTTCTGTACAGCAGTGCTGACTCCGTGGGCATGCCTGAATCTAGTATGCATTTTACTTGAATTACAATATTTGTGTTTTGTAAGAACATTTATTCGAATCAAAATATCTTATGTATAATATTAATGTCCTTATATGGTAAGTAAATGTTAGTCCAAGATTTCAAAATATTAAAATTATTCAATAATTTGTACAACTAATATTTATTTGCTTGGTTTCTTTTAGGCTCAAGTTGGGATAGTGTGAACTTTCCGTATGCCAATACATTAGGCATTTTTATACAAGGTAGGTGTTTTTGATAAATGATTGAAGAAATACATGACCCAATTTTAATAATATATATGTTATGTTGTGTGAAAGGAGACAGTTAGATTGAAAGTGAATATTGTATAAACGAAATGTGTCATCTCTCCTAAAGGCTGGTTTCCTGTCATGAAAATAGCTAATGGACAGAGTTTGGGTTCTGCCACTGGAATTTACAATCTTTGGAGTGGCACGTACACTTTAAATGAATACACCGAGGCTGCATACTCCATGTCAGCGGGCACTGTTTCCTACAAATCAAGCATCGTTGACTCCTGGACGTCCTACTATATCCAGGCTGTAAGTAAATGTTTATTAAACACCAGCATCGCATGTAGATGTTTTAATTCATTCAGGAAAGATTTGATTTTGGTACCACTAATCTAATCTGAAAAGAATTGAACAGATACTTCTTCAAGAAGACAATAATTTATTTCTTTTTATTTCATCCCTAGGTTCGCGTGTCATTTTATGTGTCTGGACAAGAACAGGCGTTCGTGGTGTTTGATGCTCATGCGTCATCCAAATCTTCCTGGTTCAGTTGTAACAGGATTCTCTACACATCCTTCACAGATCTGTCCAGAGATACAACTGTGAACTACTGTTCTGTCGCAGGGTAAGAATGTCTTACTGTAATAACAAATTTTAAGAGAGAGCTGCCCAACAGTTTAAGTAATCAGCTTTCCCATCTGGATTCTTACTTTTAATTTGACCAATTTTTTGGTCATCATATTTCTTTCATCTTGTTTCAACCATTTATACCACCATCAGACAATGTTTCAGCCATTTTATACCACCATCAGACAATGTTTCAATCATTTATACCACCATCAGACAATGTTTCAGCCAATTTATACCACCATCAGACAATGTTTCAACCATTTATACCACCATCAGACAATGTTTCAACCATTTATACCACCATCAGACAATGTTTCAGCTAATTCATACCACCATCAGACAATGTTTCAGCCATTTTATACCACCATCAGACAATGTTTCAGCTAATTTACACCACCATCAGACAATGTTTCAGCCAATTTATACCACCATCAGACAATGTTTCAGCCAATTTATACCACCATCAGACAATGTTTCAGCCAATTTATACCACCATCAGACAATGTTTCAGCCAATTTATACCACCATCAGACAATGTTTCAGCCATTTTATACCACCATCAGACAATGTTTCAGCCATTTTATACCACCATCAGACAATGTTTCAGCTAATTTATACCACCATCAGACAATGTTTCAGCCAATTTATACCACCATCAGACAATGTTTCAGCCATTTTATACCACCATCAGACAATGTTTCAGCCATTTTATACCACCATCAGACAATGTTTCAGCCAATTTATACCACCATCAGACAATGTTTCAGCCATTTTATACCACCATCAGACAATGTTTCAGCTAATTCATACCACCATCAGACAATGTTTCAGCCAATTTATACCACCATCAGACAATGTTTCAGCTAATTTACACCACCATCAGACAATGTTTCAGCCAATTTATACCACCATCAGACAATGTTTCAGCCAATTTATACCACCATCAGACAATGTTTCAGCCAATTTATACCACCATCAGACAATGTTTCAGCCATTTTATACCACCATCAGACAATGTTTCAACCATTTTATACCACCATCAGACAATGTTTCAGCCATTTTATACCACCATCAGACAATGTTTCAGCCATTTTATACCACCATCAGACAATGTTTCAGCCATTTTATACCACCATCAGACAATGTTTCAGCCAACTTATACCACCATCAGACAATGTTTCAGCCATTTTATATAATCAGACAATGTTTATATTCATACCACCATCAGACAATGTTTCAGCCAATTTATACCACCATCAGACAATGTTTCAGCCATTTTATACCACCATCAGACAATGTTTCAGCTAATTCATACCACCAGCAGACAATGTTTCAGCTAATTTATACCACCATCAGACAATGTTTCAGCCATTTTATACCACCATCAGACAATGTTTCAGCCATTTTATACCACCATCAGACAATGTTTCAACCATTTTATACCACCATCAGACAATGTTTCAGCCATTTTATACCACCATCAGACAATGTTTCAGCTAATTCATACCACCATCAGACAATGTTTCAGCCAATTTATACCACCATCAGACAATGTTTCAAACAATAACAAACAGAACATATCATGAACATCCCAGCTTAAAAATCTTCCTGTTTCACCTTTATGTTCATCTTTTTAATATTGAGAAGCAACTTATAGATAGTTGGCTTTATTCAACCTGGTCCTGAGAATTATCATATTTAATGTGTTATAAGGAAACATGTTTCATTAATTATATAGCAGGTGTACAGGCTGTGTATATATATGTATTACAGGAACAGTAATCGATACTTTTTTCTGGAGGAAACGTATGGGTCAAGCTGTTCAGAAAATTTTGGTTGGTTTGCTGTAGTAGAGGGATCGACATGCAGATGGGACTCTATAGGAACAGTGCCATATGCCCTGTATAGCGATGCTGGCTTCTCTGAAGCAAACGATGGTAAAGTTTGATGTCGGAATATATATATATATATAAACAACAAGAATTGAACATTGAATATATAATCTGAATGTCTTTGATATCATAAACGATTTACTGAAAAATACAAGTGATAATCCTGTGAGAACAAAACCAACATTTAGGTTGTAAATTTAAAGAGGTTTTGTCGTGATCACTGTTATGAGACCTGTTAAAACTTGCTGATCTTTCATAATATACAATAGATATATTTGTTTGCTGGTATCTTTGATGTGTCAGCTCACTGTCAGCAGCCATGGTCATTTTGAGACAGAGTAGCTTGTACCAATCTCATACCATCTAAAACGAAGCAAACGGCTACCAAGTTTGTTAAAATGAATGATCTTTACTAACTTTCAAGGTCACAAGAGTCATATATGTTGAAGTCTTTGAACAATTTCTCCTCAATGATAAAAGTTTCAGGCTGTTGATAATGGTTCTTTAACATATGTGGATAAAGGGTTACCAACTAATTGACCTTGACCTGTATTGCAGGTCTCTTGGATTAAGTGAGTTGAGATCTTCAAATTTCTTTTTCAACAAGCAATAGGTCCAGAGTAATGGCATTGTGTAGTAGAAAGCATAAAGAATACAAATTGCAGAAAAAGTTTTTTCTGAAATAATAATGTCTTTTTCGTAAGTTGAAGAGTAGTTGAGCAATTTATTTTAAGCCTATTTTGCCTCTTTCATATATAGGTTTTCATAGCCAAATGACCGTTAAGGCATGAGGTTCTCCTGTTTCGTATGAGATTTTATGATGTAAATCTTTGAAGTTTTTATTTCTTAGAGCTCTTGGCATAAACTATAACTTTGAGAGGAGTTTGATCAAAATTTACATGAAATGAAGCAAGTATAAGATTCTTTTTATCACAAGTCAGAAAAGTTACGTTTTGACAATTTCAAAAGTCAAAATTTGTGGACAAAATTTCATATAGAGGCAGTCTGATTTTGTTGTGCCACTTTTGATTAATGATGTAATCTCATTGACCATGATAGACATGACAGTCGATTTCTGACTGGCACAGTCAATGAAAACACACTACAGGGTATATTAGTGACATATACACAAAACTATTGTGTGGGGAGTTCACTGTATAACAGGCAGATTATGTGATAAATTTATATATAATTAGTATTTTGTCTGCATTATCTAAGGATTTTCAATATTTATATACAAGTAATGGCTTGAATTCCCAGATATCTTTACTGTTTACATCAAATTGGAGAACAAGAACAATTTCTGTTTTCATACGTAACATAAGTAGAGTTAAATCTAAACACCTCAATATGGTAATTGTGGAAAGGATACTGTCACTTTTTCATCAAGGCTAGGAGACCAAATACAGATAGACATTCCCTACAAAATGTCTGCTAACTAAATATCGCTGCTAGCATTAAGCCCAGCTGTTGACAAAGCCTCATTAACATGATATTATATGTATACTATTTATTTTGCATTAAAGACATGGTGGCTGCTGAAACATTTGCCATATCCATATGTAAGTATATCTTGTTGATATAGAAGAAAAAAAGATAATAGTTCACCATCATTACAATCCTGGCTTGCTTTTCGAAATAATTCATTTTGACTTGTGAAATACTTTTTTTTATCTCTCTATACAGTCATGGCTTGTCCTGTGAAATACTTATTTATCTATCTATACAGTCATGTCCTGTGAAATGCTTATTCATCTGTCTATACAGTCATGGCTTGTCCTGTGAAATACTTATTTTTCTCTCTATACAGTCATGGCTTGTCCTGTGAAATACTTATTTATCTCTCTATACAGTCATGTCCTGTGAAATACTTATTTATCTCTCTATACAGTCATGTCCTGTGAAATACTTATTTATCTCTCTATACAGTCATGTCCTGTGAAATACTTATTTATCTCTCTATACAGTCATGTCCTGTGAAATACTTATCTATCTCTCTATACAGTCATGGCTTGTCCTGTGAAATACTTATTTATCTCTCTATACAGTCATGTCCTGTGAAATACTTATCTATCTCTCTATACAGTCATGGCTTGTCCTGTGAAATACTTATTTATCTCTCTATACAGTCATGACTTGTCCTGTGAAATACTTATTCATCTCTCTATACAGTCATGTCCTGTGAAATACTTATCTATCTCTCTATACAGTCATGGCTTGTCCTGTGAAATACTTATTTATCTCTCTATACAGTCATGTCCTGTGAAATACTTATTTATCTCTCTATACAGTCATGTCCTGTGAAATACTTATTTATCTCTCTATACAGTCATGTCCTGTGAAATACTTATCTATCTCTCTATACAGTCATGTCCTGTGAAATACTTATCTATCTCTCTATACAGTCATGTCCTGTGAAATACTTATCTATCTCTCTATACAGTCATGGCTTGTCCTGTGAAATACTTATATATCTCTCTATACAGTCATGTCCTGTGAGATACTTATTTATCTCTCTATACAGTCATGTCCTGTGAGATACTTATTTATCTCTCTATACAGTCATGTCCTGTGAAATACTTATTTATCTCTCTATACAGTCATGTCCTGTGAAATACTTATCTATCTCTCTATACAGTCATGGCTTGTCCTGTGAAATACTTATTTATCTCTCTATACAGTCATGTCCTGTGAAATACTTATTTATCTCTCTATACAGTCATGTCCTGTGAAATACTTATCTATCTCTCTATACAGTCATGTCCTGTGAAATACTTATTTATCTCTCTATACAGTCATGTCCTGTGAAATACTTATTTATCTCTCTATACAGTCATGTCCTGTGAAATACTTATCTATCTCTCTATACAGTCATGGCTTGTCCTGTGAGATACTTATTTATCTATCTATACAGTCATGTCCTGTGAAATACTTATCTATCTCTCTATACAGTCTTGTCCTGTGAGATACTTATCTATCTCTCTATACAGTCATGTCCTGTGAAATACTTATCTATCTCTCTATACAGTCTTGTCCTGTGAGATACTTATCTATCTCTCTATACAGTCATGTCCTGTGAAATACTTATCTATCTCTCTATACAGTCTTGTCCTGTGAGATACTTATTTATCTCTCTATACAGTCATGTCCTGTGAAATACTTATCTATCTCTCTATACAGTCATGTCCTGTGAGATACTTATCTATCTCTCTATACAGTCATGTCCTGTGAAATACTTATCTATCTCTCTATACAGTCATGTCCTGTGAGATACTTTATTTCTTTCTCTACAGCCCATCTTATACTTAGTCCTTTAGGATATATTTTTTGATAATTTTCAGCTCGTGACAATATGTGTGATTTAGTATCATGCCAGAATAGTGGCACCTGTTATGACTGGGGAGCTAGATGGAAGTGTGTATGTGCTGGTGACTACTATGGAGGCAGGTGCCAAAATTGTAAGTTTTTCTCAACGTCATGTTTTATCAATACATGGGCAGTATTCTCTGGTTCTAGGTATATGTTGTTTGTGACGGAAACCACTTAATGTTAGGTGATCCACGAGGCTCTGTTTATCATGTATTTATGAGATTAGTTTATTATGTATGATATTGTTAGACGGCATTTAAATCCTACATCAGGCAGGCATGTTTCAAATTAAAATTGATTTGCAGTGGATGGAGGCTGGACTGACTGGACGGCATGGACAGACTGCAGTACTACATGTTATGCACAAGGGACACAAACACGAGAGAGGACATGTTCGAACCCGACAACAGCTGGGGATGGAATCTATTGTCCAGGCTACCACAATCAGACCGAGTTCTGCATACCATCTAATCTGGACATTTGTACCTGTATGTTGTACAATATTCTTCATGCAGTTATATCAGATCATGACAGAATTGGTAGCTTGCTGCCTGCTGTCTGAATGTGGAAGAAATTATTTTCACTTGTAGAAGTCAGTATATTGAAATGACTTAACATCCAGATCAGTTTCCACAATTTTACGTCACTCTCTTCTTGATGATTTATAAAATGATGACCATTGATATTATAGGTAAATCTAGGATACTGAACATTATATTAAATGTAATGTGTTCTGTCTTCAGTTCAACTCAGTTCTTAGAAACATTTTGAAAAGTGAAAGTAGAAATTATCTTTGCCACCAATACACATCAGTCAACATCAATATAATCAGTAATCTATGTTGGTTTCAGTTGTCACAAAATGTAATTATTCCTAAGTAAAACCTTGTTTTTCATATCTGATTTCATTTAGTAAAAGGTTTGTCTATTAAGAAAGTCCGACATCTGGTGTAGCATGGTATTGTGAAGCAAACCGTGGTCAAAATACCATAATGGTGTGAGCTGCGGTTCACTGAACCATTATGATGAAATAAACGTCACCCCCACCAACCCCTTTTTCTCATTGCCATGATTCAATCATATCAACACATACATAACAATAAATAGGCCTGGGGTGGGAAAATTTAGGGTGATGATGTTTTTATCAGGAAATATTATGATAAACAAGGTTCACTGAAACTACAATTTACCATTTCAGGAGATCAGTTTGGAGGCTTAAAACTAATGTCTTATATTTATTGTTTCTTTGATTCATAAACACAGGATTTGACAGTGAACATATTTCGTTACAGCTTACAACACGAGTGATATCGCTGAAGGAGAGAACTATACCATGGCATGTCCATCAGGGTTCTACTTCCATGTGTATGCTGCATATTACGGGGCACCGTCCATACCATGTGTGACCTCTGACCCTCTTAGTTCAATGCGTACATTATGTCATAGTACTTCAGACACTTGTAACATCTTGTTCAGCGACGCCAACTTTGGTGGAGATCCATGTTCGTCATATCCTTCAGCAGCAAAGATTGGCTATATCGAATTCTTCTGTGCAAGTGAGTGCTATTAAATAATGGGTTTTTACAAACATTGAGTTTTTTGTTAACATGAATCTAATAGCAGTACAGCAGTCAGTTACATCAGATACTTGCTGTAAATGTCAAGATATCATTGAAAGGATTAGAAAGGAGATCATTTCCCGTTGTTTCACAGTTTTCAGCTGGAAAAAAGTTATACCTGTTGCTTTTGCAAATCAAGAAAATATTCACATACAAATACAGTTATTGTAGTTTTATAACAAGTGAAAACTGAGAGACTTACAACACTCGGACCTGGTGAGCAGATTCTGCTTTGTCAACAACACCTCCCATAAAAATCTTATGAATGATTAATCCTAGTGATGCTACATCGTCATTCTGAATGATTTGTATGGTAATTCAATCTCTTTACAAAAAGCAGGTTTAGTTTTTTGTATTGGTTTATAATGAAATGCACACAAATTTTTTATTTTGTTGCAGAAAGTCAGGCGCTTGATGAAGCAAGAGGGCGTAAGTTGTGTTAAAACATAAATGCAATGAAAAGTCATATTGTGTATTTCTTCACTGGCAGCTTTTTTTAAGTGAAAGGAAAAATATAGCTCAAGACATTAATTCATTATGTACCATTATCACTTTGTTTTTATCTATTATTGTGCAAATTTGAGATATCAGTGAAACAAGAGTGCAACCTGTGCTATACATCTTGTATATAAATTTACATATTAGTGGTTGTCTTTGAACACTTCAGCTTGGCAACTGGTTTTCAAAGCCCCAAGAGGTACCACTCCACCATCAGGGTATGCTGATATGATGTCACTGTATTCTTCCAGCGAGTCTTATAATGATGGTGTCATATCTGCGATGACTGATTTCTCTGCTTCAGGGAGTGTGTACAAATCATCTATGTTAGAACAGTGGGGATTGAATATCACAGCCACAGCAGTGAGTACACTGTGACAATTAAATTGTTTCTGCATGAGCCTGCAAAAGTCCAAACTGATAATTAAGTCATTTCTGAGCCATCAAAAGTCCTGGAATAGTTGTATTAGGGTGACCCACCCACAATTTTAGTGCTAGGACACAGACAAGTATAGTGTATAGTACTGACCCACCAACCACATAATCACAATACACAATCCCTAGGTATGGTTGGAAGAGAAACACATTAACATTACTAAATGTCCTTTTACTTTGTCTTTTGAATTTCCTCCACAAGTTAAACATGGCATCAGTTGAAATCCCAACTGATTCACCAAGCTGGATGCCAATTTCATAATCCTTGCTCTTCGATTCTTCTTAGTACGATAACTTTGTGAATGATGATATTTTTCTAGGATTACTGGATACACACACAGTGACAGGTAGCAACTATACAAAGTATGTACAACATTAAATTGTAGGTACGATTAGCCGCTTACAGCAATGGAATTGAATCAGCTTATGTTGTGTTTGATGCAACTGGGAAAGGAAAGAGCGACTGGTTTGATTGTACGAGGATTATTGACTCTAGCTGGAATGACATCGAGACAGGCAACACTACTTGTGAATTTGAGTAAGTTTGAAATATTAGGTACTGCGTGGAACATCAGAAAAATCTTAATACCTCATTTCCCCAAACTACAAGTGATACTATATTGTAATACAACTGCTCATTGTCTTTTTTTTTTCAGAGAACAAATAGGCCTCATAATAGGACCTAGCATGTGCAACCCTGTTGTCATATTAACCAGTAGTATAGTTGGACGACACACTGTCCACTTGTGGAGATGGTTGGATAAAATGTAACCAGCATGCCAAGTTTTCATTCATTTAAATAGTTGCACTGTTCAAAATATACACACATATTTGAAATTGTTCTAGAATTTCCAGATCACAGGAAAATTAGCAAATTTATTAAAGTGTTGATGTTTTGATTTTGTCTTTTTTATCGTTAACTTTAGATTTTCCACGGTAGCCTTCTCAACTTCAAAATTTAGGCCCTTAGGAACACTGATTAGTCCTAGAAGGACGTACAGCCCAGCTGTGTAATAAAGTTCAATTCATAGTTCAGCTCTTCCTAACTCTGAATTTGAATTAAGAGATGTTTTTTACTTGTGTGTCTTTGTACAATCATTAGTTGAGTGTTGTAAGCTTGAAATGTATGTGCATTTTTAAAAAACTACAGCTGTTTTGAATTATCAAAAGGCTAAAATGCCATGTAGTATGATCAGAGGAAGGTTAAAGTTTATACAGGTAAACTTTGTCAGGCAACTTTATCAGACTATTTTTAAACACTTTCTTTGGGTAAGAAACTATTCCTGATATTTATCATATTAATCATTTTTGGTTTATTCAACACTGATCCATTTTGAAGTTCACAGAAGTTACATTCAATGAATGCCAGTTTAGCAATATAGACCCACAGGTCTTTTTCTTCGTTGATTCTATCAGATTAAACAAACGTTGATCTGAAAGACATATTTATTTTCTGTTATTTTAGTTCTGGAGACACCTACAAACGTATATTCAACATCAAAAGTGACTACACAGGATGTAATTCGGAGACAGGGTGGTTTATGTTCAAGGACTATGGAGCCTCTGCAGGCTGTTCTGTATCAGACAGCACAGCATCCAGCATGCCGTATATGTTGTATTCAACTTTGGGTACCCGGACTGTATGGTCCTCAGGTTTGTTCAAATGATTGTATCAGTCTGAGATATGTTTCCAAAATAGAAATTTTACTGTAACTGTTTTGGCCTTTTCCCAGGTTGATATAGCTCTGGTTCTGGTGAAAGAAAAAAAATCATTCTTAGAATTTTTTTTGCTCAATTACCATGAAATTAATTAAAAATGATTGGTTTCATTTGTGTTTGTGTTATAACAAAACCTGATGGTGACTTTTTTGTTCAATGCTAAAACCATGTTATCACAAAAAAAATTATTAATCATTAATTAAATAAAAATTATTTACCAAATCTTTTTATTAGTTAAGGTTCTGACAATTGTTTGCCCCGACTGGAGATTAGAAGTATATGCTTTAGAGGGACACACAATGACTAGAATTAGGTTTTGTTCAGAACTATTCTAGTAAAACATCTATCCCTCCCCAAAGCTGTGTATAGAGGTACCACCCATAGAATCCAATAGATAATGTGCTAAGAAATTGAATAGGTAGGAAACCGAACCACAGATAGAAGTGATATATCTTGGGGTGCTAAGGTCATGAGGATGTTTTAATGGAATAGCTCTAATAGTATTACAGAAGGTTGTACCTGAGGCAGACCATTTTCAAAATTACACGTGTTTGTGGATTCCTTAAAAAATATTTATTTAATCAATGCTGTTACACTATTTTCAAACTTTTGAATTAAATTATAGTTTAATTCCAGGTAACAAAGCAACAGGAGACTGTCTGGCCATTTTTCTAATGGGTAATGTGAAGTTTTTTGCTTTAATTTTTTTTCTTTGAAAACATGTATGTAAAATGTGTATCTATTAATCTAAATTACACTATAATTGAAAAAAAAACACAATCTTGTGTAAAAGAATAATCTCATTATATTTGCAGATAATTTTCCTGTGTGTATATATTATTCCATCTGCTTGAAGTAACATATGAAATGAAATTTTTGAAATTCATTATTCATAGATTGGCACATGGCATTCAAAGCTGTAGCAGAGGATCAGACAAATGGCAGTCTAGTGAATGTTTGGACTGGATCAGACTCCGTCAACAATGAAGTCCAGTCAGCATGGTCGATCACTAATTCTCCTGCGATGAACTACAAATCTAGTTTGGTTGAGGCCTGGTCAGACGCTTTTACCTTTGTTGATATGGTACGTGTTGTCAACTGACTCGTAATTGTGGCACAGTAACTCAGAATTTATTTGGGCCTTGGCTGAAGCCATATAGCAATATGTTTGTCCATTCGTCCGTCCTGCTGTCCGTCTGTCCATCTATCTGTCCAAAACACATTGGTGTAGACTCCATCACTTTGTAAACAAAGTAGAGTGATGAAACTTTGTTTCAGTGTGAACTACTTGTAGAAGACAAAAATAGCCTGCCCATGCGTTTATCTGTACATCAGTCTGTCTGTTCATCTATATGTCTATATTACTTTGGCAGGTTAAGTATGCATATTTCACAAGTGGAGTTGAAAATGCATGGATTGCATTTAATGGGATTGGGACAACGAAAACAGATTGGTTTGCTGACAGCAGGATACTGTTTTCCAGCTTCAGT